GTTTTAGTTTATTTCTAATTTGGCTTTATTTGATTATTTGTTTATTTTGGTTTTTATTTTAATTTATTTAATTTTTATTGATCATTCCTCTTCAAGAGTTTTCTCTTCTAGGGCAAAAAAACAAAACAAAAACAAAAACAAAAAAATCCCTTACATCAGGAGGTTTTATTCTGACTTCCCACTTTGTTTTCTCTAGTTTGAGTTAAACAATTGGTGTTTCCCTGGTTTATCTATATATGGGCCTGTCTCTCTCTTACTTTGTTTTTTCCTCAAGTTTTAGTTCAGTTAAGTCTACTTCTGAGTTGTTATTTTGTTATTGTTTTTTCCCCTTCCTAGCATGTATCCTTTATTTATTTTAATTTAATTTAATTTAATTTAATTTAATTTGAATATTTTACATTTTATAGTATATTAAATAATGTTAATTTTATCTTATTTGGTTTTTAGTCAACTTCTACAATTGGTTCTTACAGTTAACTTAAGTTCTATTGATTATTTGATTTAATTAAGAATATTTATCTAGTGTGTATTTTCTCTTTCTCTCTTTTAACAATTTTTTTAAATCCAATTAAATAGAATTTATCTGTCTTGCTTTCTCTAATTTATTTCTAATTTTATTTTATTAATCTTGTGTTCTATATATTCTAATGTTGTGGTATTCTAGTTTTGTGGAGGTTAAGATTATTTATTAGTATTGTGTATAATTGTCTGTTTCTAGTTAATTTTGCCCTTTTCTAGGTTAGTTATCTATTTTCTTGTGAATTCCACAGTTTCCTTAATTTCCTGCTTAAATTTTATTTTTGCCTTTAAAGCTTATGTCTTTCTTCTTACATTTATTTGTTTCTTTTCCACCTAACACAAAAGCGGGTTGTTTTCACTTTAAATCTAGTTTCTGCAAGGGATTCGTCCAGTGTGATAAACTCCATAGTTTCATTACTTTTTAAAATGAACATACCCACTTATAATGCCATTCATTTCTGTGTGTGCAGTGTTTACTTGCCACTGCTAAACCTTTTAAAGGATTTTTCACCATGGGTTTAATTTTTTTAAGTATTCAAATAATATGGAAGTAATAAATAGCTATTTACATAACCAAACAGCAACATAATCATTTGGAAGAAAATAAGAAATGTATTTCTAAGCTTTCATTTATTTTTAGGATTAAAAAAACCTGTAGGAAAATGTACCCCAACCCAGTAAACACACTCCAGTAGACAGTCTGTCCACATATTGATTACAAATAATCAGCAGGGCCATTCTTTTGCTAAAATGTCTTATTTTGGCTGAAAGTCAGTAAAACTGAGACTAGCAAGTTTCTTGAAAATGGGAGCCATTGGTCCTCCTGATGTTTTGGCCTACATCTCTCAATATGGCTTGCTACTGGGCGTTCTAGCTGGTGCTGATGTGTGCGTAAACCACAAAATCTGGAGGATCAAAAGTTCCTGCCCTTAATTCCAAATGATGGCAGGTACTGGAACAGCTAAGCTTCTGTAGACAAAGAATTCTAGAGGTGAGGTCTCCACTTCTCAAATCTCTGAAGGTGGCAGTACCCACTCTAAGTAAAAAAATCAGATAATATTAGGAGTCTAGAGGCGTGGAAGTATATTTCATGAAGCATGTATCATTTCAGATAACTAAAATTAGATTAGAAATAGTAAGATCAAGTAAAAGACTAAGGTGGATCCAGCTGAGGTGGCAAAAAAAGTGGAATATCCAAATTGTGGAGGTGTTGATTGTATTCTGTCCCAGAGGCACTTCCAAACAGAAAATAAATTACATCTGTTCTTACCTTTGGGTCTTTACTGAGCATGATGAACCATAAGATGGAGGCCCAGGCACTGGACATCTGGTTGCCATTAGAGATGATCACCACTGGCAAGGTGGAAGTC